GTGCAACGTTAAGATGATAATCTATTACTCTGCCACCGCGATTTTTCTAGCAGCATCAAGGTACATAAGAGCGCGCATAAGAAGTTTGAAGCAAGGGCAAATCAACCCAGCGAATCCACATTTTCATATTTTATAAACACCCAAAGCATTAAGAACACTTCAATAAACTGTACCCATCGAAGATGATATCCACATTAATGAATTCGGAAACCAGAAAAACAGCTTCAAAAAAAAAATCAGAAGCTAAGCAGAAAACCTAGCAATGTGCAAGAACAAAACGTTAAACCAAGAACAGAAAGAAGGATATAAAATCATAAATTTCAAGAAACGGAGCAAGGAATAGTGATCGATACCTCGCCGGAACTTTCCGCGAGAGAAATAGAAACACAGAAACAAGACCGCCAGATTACGGAGATCTCTCGGAGTCAGATACGCAGCTCTTCATCTTCGTAAGAACGAGAAGAAACAATGAAGCATCGGCCGCCGTTCCGGCGACACAGCCAACCGTCGCAGCCAAATAGTTAACTTCGCTGAAGCCTGGAGCCTAGAGAGCAAGATGGCGCGGGTAAGACCGAGCGGAAGGAGGAGGAGGTTCGGAAGAGAGCGACGAAGGATGTGTAGGAGGGGGAGCCTGGCTTTCGGCGACGGAGACCAACGAACTTCGAATGGCTTTCAACAAAGGTGAGCAAAGGTTCGCGAGAGAGGGGTAGAGGCGTAAAACGAGGGACGAAAACGCGGATCGCGGGTATAACCCCGCGATTTGCGTGTAATAGAAAAAATTAAACGCAGTTTTTAAATAATTTGTAGAAATGTGCTAAACAAACACGTAAGCGGCGTTTTCAAAACGTTGCCGCACTTATAAGTTGCCCCAAACGGGCCCTTAATGGTCTCAATATGGAGAAGAAGAGTGTAGCTGCTGACCACCATCAAGCACCACTCATTGGCCACTATCGACCATCGTCGATCCCGTCATGCTCGTCATTATTATTGAATTGTGAAGAGTAACAAAGCACCCTACGGAGTAATGATTCACTTTTCTTGCAGAGTAACAACACACATTGTAGTGAAACGCCGTACACTACAGAGTAACGAAATATTATATTCAGTGATGTACTTGTTGGATTAATTTTGGGACTACAATGTAATTAATAAATGTGTTGGGTCATCATTAAATAAGTCAAAATTATTGTGGTCTAATTTAGAATTAAGTTCATGACTTTGGGCACATTTGTCATGATATTATAGTGTGGATACCATAAGTGCAAATTCTAATTTGATGAGGGGCAGAATTAGAATTAAGCAAAACTTTTTTGTAACCGCCTGGTAGTTATTGTAACCGCCTGGTAGTTACTTCAAAGGGTGATGGTCCCCAATTTGCAGAGAGACACATCCCTTTCTTGCACCCCATCAACAAGAAAACTAAGGAATATTTGGATAATCTGCAGATTGGAAGATCATATCTTGCGCAATCGATCTAATGGATTCCAGTACGCTTCCGCTAATCTATGGTTTATTTCTCTCGAAATTGAATGTGAATTTTTTTTTAAGTTCCAACAACTCGAACTAAGAATATGAAGTCTTGTTTCTTCAATCAACGCTTGACAGCCCAATTTGCACATTGATTTCCTTCGCGGTATGTAAATAGCCAATTAACCTGCACAATTTTAATGACAGCAAATATTTTTTTCATTTGAATAATAAGACTCCAAGGATATGTTTTTTTCTTAGTAAAATAGTTCCAAAGTTCCAAAGAATCCATCTCAATGTCAGTCAAATGTCAAACGCAATTAACAACTAAAGTTAATGTAACTATAACAGCTTCAGCTTCAGAATAAATAGGAGATACAATGATAGTAGGAGCAGAAAATCAGAAAATACATTTTTCTTCAAAATTACAACACACTCCACCAATTCCAGCAAAAAATTTATTCCAACTTCCATCAATATTAATTTTAAGAAGGTAGCACAAAGGTTTATTCTAACCAATTAAATTAGTAACATACTTACAATAATAAGAAATATTTATATTATTTTAGCAAAGATGTTTCTTAATTTCAAGCCGAATGGTTTTTTAAAATTACCAAAACGAAGTATATTATAAATAAAATTAGTAATGAAGATAAAACATGAATGAGTAGTAATCAAATTGTCATTATGTTTAGATTTATTCCTAGCAAACCAAATGTACCAATAAACAATAATAAGAATAGAGATAAAAAAAATATTCTCACCAACGTATCTCCAAAAGTTAAAGAAAACATTGATGGAAAAATTAGTGACATCATTTATCGACATATCACAAAAAGTGAGAACATTACTATAAACCTCCTTAGCATAGATACAAGAAATAAAAATATGATCCAAATTATCTTCCGCTTATTTATAAAGAAAACATCGAGAAGGAAGACGTAAACCTTTTAATTTAAGAATATCATAAGGAATATCATCAGATAAGTAGGTAAGATGCGATGAAAAAGCCTCCAAATGAAAAATGCCTGAGAAGGCTTAAGTAGAAAAATGACTGAAAAAGCCTCTTTACAACCTAACATGTATGAATGTGTGCGCATAAATTTGAGATTAAATTTACTCAATATTTCAAAGATAAATGTAACTTATTGCATCTAATTTTGATTATGTTTATTCAAATTTTAG